ATTAGAAATCTCCCTTCGGTCTTTATTGGCTTCTTCATATGTGTCTTCTCCAACTTGAATGACGCGAATGCAGAACTCATTTGGCTGGACTCCTCACCAAAAGTGCATGGTTTGCGTTGCAATTGCAAAGAAGATTGCCTTAATATATCAAACAATGAACTGCCTGATTTAGCTTCGTTCTGTGCACTTGGTCTCACTTGGGAGTAACTAAACTTGGCTGAAGAAATCCTTGTAGGTTTATTTTCACTCTGGCCCTGCAAAGCCAAGTTATTGCTGTTATTAGTCGGCCCACTATCAACCAAGGAACACTTGATCGGTTTGGATTGAACTGATCTGAGGAGGTGAAGTCATCTCTTGTCTCTCAATCATCCAAAAGTAAACATGAACATATATGGTCCAGCATCAGTATTTTTAACGAGAGCTGACCTGATCAGAAGATTCTTCCATTGTTGGAATTGCACTCTTGCTGTTGCTATCATCTCGACCGAAAATGAAAGAACGACTGTTGATTGATGATCCATGCTTACGGGATGAAGAAAGAGATAAATTTGAACTTCTACCTAAGAAAGATGACTGCATAATTTATGTTAGCTTTATAGAAGATGTTATCTTTTTACAATAGAACCAACGGATTGAATAGCGAATGCATTTCTGAATTCAGAGATATTGCACACAGATACCTTGGATGTTATGTTCTTGCCTACACCAGTTAGTGGAGGGTCCAAAAACGCTGCATAAATAGAGACAATGCATAAGGATTAAGCAAGATAAAGGATTCTAGATTCAGAGGGGATGATGAATGTGCTGCAGATCTTACATTGTGCTTTGGGTCTCTTTTTTACATCGGATACAACATTCAGCTTCTTAATAAGACCAAAAACTTCTCTAGTGCTCTCATCCTCAGCAGGCGACAGAAATGTGGATTTTTCCTCCTGTTTCAGACCAATCGTTAGATCATCCTGTGAGCTATATGGTTGAACGATTAAAAGATATAAATCTTAGTTCATCAAAGAACAGCTTGAATCTCACAGCTTTATAAAGTACACGTTCTCTTTCTATCCTCCTTTCTGTTTCCTCGTCATCGGACATGTACTGATCATCATTATCTGTATACATTTGAGGAAGCATTTGCTTTACTTTTCGAATGTTCATTCGAGCAACATTCAACGGAAGTAAATCTTCTGCAGCTGCTTCACAAAATTCAAAATCATCATTTTCTCCTTCATTATTTACATCATCCAGCAAAGCTGGTTTAGTAAATTTTGATCCATATTTCAATTTCTGCAAAAGATCTTCTGTTCCAGCAGCATCTTCCTGTTCAAGCCACTTCTGATGGAGTTCGTTGCGTTTTTCATTGTCTAATGGATTTTCTTCGTATGCAGTTGCTATCATATCTTGAAGCTCTTCTGAATCAGTGTACTCGTCTTCGTCTTCGTCTTGAAAGCGCATATCATGGTCACTGTCATCTTCTTCCTCAGCTTCATCATCAACAAAAGCTTTAACAGGATCCCCGCTTGCCAATGAAGGCAAGTTCGACAAACCATCTGGATGTGGATTTACATTCTCCTTATCATTATCCTCCTCATCAGAACTACAAGCAAAGGACTTGAGAAGTTAAGTTATATGACCAAACAGCCAACGATGTTAAGCAACTAAAATTAAGATTTCTTGAAACCAATATCAAACAATTAGCAGTGGCCCAGCTTGATATTCTCAGTGTTTAACATTGAGAGAGTAGGAAAGGAAGTCATGAACATATCTAATGAGTACACGTAATAAAATTTCCTAAAATTCTTACTCCTCATCAAGGGCTGCAGAATCGAGCCTTAAATTCATTGCCAATACGGAAGGTGTGAAATTTTCTTGCAAATGACTTCTGGATGTCTCGTTCAACTCATCATCAAGAGGTGCAGATTCATGCTTTAAATTCATAGCCAATACAGATGGCGTAAAATTTTCTTGCAGAGGATTGTTGGACATCTCATTTGATACATCGTCTCCATTGCTTGTTTGGGAATCAGAAAAGAGTTCCTAGAACATGATAGACATAGTAATTATGCTGAAAAAATATAGAGATAAAACAACACATTATCAGAACTCATTGAATGAAAATACCTGAGTGTCATTAATAGGAGTCCAAAATGCTTCTGTGACGTCGTCGGTAGCCTGTAATTCATAAAGACAACAACTGCATCAAGTCAGTAACACATTTGAAATTCTAATTTCAAAACACTTGAAACTTGACAATCATTGAAGCAAAAAAAATAAAATTGTTATTTGGGTCAAATTGTCAGGTAGTAAAGAAAATGTCGTGTCGGTTAACTTCCTTCAAGTCTTAGTTACTATTATGACTCAACCAGAACTAGCCAATACTTCCACCAAGAAAATTATTACTCCTAAGCATGTGATAAAACTCCATTTCGAAATGACGGCAAGCTACAAAAACAATTGCCCTTGTTATCACAAGATCAGTTTGTAGATTTGCCACATTTTAATTATAAACTAATTTAAACCTATTAATGGCACGGGAAGGGGAGGTGGATGCATCTAACCTTTTCCCTCTCGGAGGGCATGTTTGTCCCATTACTCCTTTCATCTATACACATTGAACCTTTTCGGTTCCCCAAATCAGCAGGATGCTGATACATATCCTCGCATTCTCTTTCTACAGAATCCGCCCTCCCTTCTACAGACAACCTATGCTTGATCACGACCTCTGTGCACAGATAATTGTCATCGTCGTCGCAGTCTAGAATGGCATTCTCAATATTGATAGATCTGCGTAAATAAATATTATATAAGTTCATAGTCTAGGTACAAATGTATGACTAAGAATAGGGTGCCCACTTCCTAGAGAGCTCAAGCTTCCTTTGTCGGATCTTCTCCAACACAGAGGATATCGGTTTCCGAACAAGTGGCATGGGCTTGAATGCTGCCCCTCTGGTATCTAACAAGAAGGAAAAATAAACTTGAGAATGTAGACGGGGAAGTGTGGCTTAGGCTTGGAGCTTAATTTTGAAGATCGATCGTCTTTAAGAAGAATTAGGACACGATTGTGAGAATCAGTAATACAATTTACCTCGCAAGAGTCTCTGAGACTCTGCGCGGAGTTGTTCAACGTATTCTCTTCTCTCCTGAAAAATATAAGCAATGAAATAAGCAAATACCGAGAAATTGGGGAAATATCCACATGAATTATCGCATTTAAGGACATCGGAGGTCATACCTTCTCAAGAGTCCTTTTGGAGACCGCAGTCTCGTTGAAATCATCAGGCTCTCCACTGCTCTTGAGCCTTTTGTTCTTTGATTTCCTCCTCTTTGCTTCTCTCTCGTCCTCGAATGAATCCAAACTTGGCCGTTTCTTCACCAGTTCATCTACCAGGGCATCGCTACTTTCCTCTCCTATCCTCGGACTTTGATCTTCATCTACTTCATCAATTCCAGCAACCGCATCAAATTCCAAGCCCTTCTCGGCTCCAGAATCATTTTCCTGATCATCCAGACCAAGACTGGGTTCCAAATTGCCACCATCGTCCAAATCCCTCGATCCAGATCCCGATTGTCGAAGCTCATCGGAATCAACCAGATCTTGGCCGTCAAATTTATCAGAATCATCGGCATCAGTTTCCGCCGCACTCAATTCACGCATCTTAAGGCTATCATCGAACCGATCATCGATCCTCGAAAATTCCCCCAACACTCCACTCGAAAATTGATCATCGACCCCTGGCAACTCCTCCGATAGAACACTAGCCTTCTTCAACCGCTTCAGCTTCCTCCCCGCAACGAGAGGGGAATCGACGTCGGGAGACGAAAGTAACTGGAAATCGTCGTCGCTCTCCATCCTCTACTGTCGATTGTGAAACAAAAATCCAAGACGAAGGACTGACCTGAGAACAGTGGATGAAAAATCGGGAGCCGCTAAGAGAAGGGTGTAGTGGCGGCAAAGCGAATTCGAAAAAATTGTGAAGACATAAAGGCTAAGGCACCCTTTTATTTTAATGAGATGCCAAACGAAGTCGAGCGAGCCCGCCAAAATTACCTGTTCCGACTCCACTGAATCTATTCATCATCTGTCGGTAATAAATGTAGAAAGACGAAGCTCGGCCCGGCCCAGTCGTTTTTTTTTTTCTTTTTTTTATTCTCAATTATTGATTCTTACATTACTCTTTATTTTATTTTTATCCTATCTTCCTTCCTCTTGAGATTAGATCGGTGTTATTTACTAATGGATACATATTTTTTTTTTATAACATTCATTTTTTAAACTATTTATTTGTGTTTTTATTTTCATATTGAAAAAAAAAAAAAAAAGTAATTTAGTGCTCATTAATTTTGCTTAAAACCAATGAAATTATTAATTAAATTATTCAGAAACCATGTGGCAGGTTAAATTTCTTATTTCTTTATTATCAAATTTCTTATTTTATTTCCTCCACTGAGTTCTGTAACTGGCATGTGACACTTTTTATAATGAGTTTATTTTCTTCCCATTTTAATAATTAGTGCATGCATATTATTTGCCTTAGAAGTTAAGTTTGATTCCAATCTCAATTTCACAAGTCTTTATGTGAAATTTCATTAGATTACATAATGTATAGATTATACGACCACAAATCATTACACAAATAGAGGTTGATCTAGATAATTATATTAAAATCGTCGATTTGAGCTCAATTTGATAAACAAAACGTCAATTATCTTTCTAATTAAAATATTTATTTATTAGGTGAAAAAAAATTGACCATGTTCATCAAAGTCTACGTCTATCTAACTTACTCATTAATTCAAACAATATTTACGTTCAATAATTTGTCTCAAAAGATCTGTCAGCAGACTCAGCACCATATTCATTGCAGCAAAATCTCCTGCACTATTGGATCTTGAGAATGAACAGCAGAGAGTAAGTTTTAGTTATGTTCTGCTAATCCTTGTAAAATTTGTTCCCTCAAATGATGTGAGCAGTTAAAAGATGAGAGCATGAGCAAAATGAAAGTGGCAGTCACTTCAAAAGAACAGCTTCTTATGATTATTGAGGTGTACTTAACATTCGAGTGCACAGAACGTTTTAAGATTCAATCATCAATGTACGTAGAAAACTCCATGCCCACTATAAATCACAACAGGAATTTAAAGGGACATTGATTTAAGAATTACACTTCGAAGTTCCATGTCGACTCTGCGGTTACTTTTGGCCTTTTGGATTCATCTGCCATGTTGACCGATGCTACAATCTGCATAACAAAAGATGGGTTATAAAGAACTGACGAGAAAGTCTGCATTATCAATATCCTTTCGTTTCAAAACAGTGAAAAGCTTTTGAATTGAGTAAAAGCATCTAAGGTTGCTACCGCACTCGGTTTGCTGGATGAATAATCAACAACCATGGCAGAGAACTGACTCAGGTGCTACCCACTACATTTTTATCCCATCCCAGCTACCACTGCCTCCAAGGATAAAGAAATCTAGTCATGAACTGATAAAACCAGTTCCACTGAAACTACACAGCCCTTTCCAAGATGGCTAATGCCAGAAACTCACCCTGGAACAACCACTTCAAGCCTGCAGGCATTTTGCCTTCTTCTCAATTGCACCATGTCAGTACATTGCCAACGCTTAAAGCGTGTGCCCTACTTATGTAATTTTCTGGAAACACTTTCACCAATAATTTCCCAATATATATATTGAGATTGGTTGAAGAGGAAACGAAACATTCCTTATAAGGGTATGGAAACCTCTCCCTAATAAACACGTTTTTAAACCTTGAGGAAAAGCCCAGAAAGGAAAGCCCAAAGAGGACCGTACTTGCTGGTGGTGAACTTGGGTTGTTACAAATGTTATTAGAGCTATGTTTTGGGCGTTGTGTTAGCAAGGACGCTGGTTGTTAAGGGTGTGGAAACATCTCCCTAGTAGACGCATTTTAAAACCTTCAGAGAAAGCCCGAAAATGACAATATATGCTATTTGACTGTTACATATATATTGGTGTTTAAAACTACCTAATAATATTTATGGTAAAAGAAAGCATTTCATCTTAATACATAACTCCAAACTGCATCGTGAAACTCGACCCCGACTATTAGTATATTGACTACTTCAAAACCAAATAACAGTTAACAATTTAGAAATGCAGAGCCTAACTCAATGACTGTGATTATCCTGTTTGTTTGTTTTTATATCCTGCAGTTGTGCATGGCCCAGGCTAATAAATATGTCTTGAATTTCCCCAAACCTCTCACGTGGGAGAGGGAGATTTTTCAAAGATAAAATGATAAAACCTCCAAATAATACTCACCACAGACCAAACAAAAATGTATTTTCAAAAAACCATGTCATCAAACATCAGATTATCTGAGGCTAAGTCAGTAGAAAATCAAGTAATTCCTACTTAAAACCCCATGTCCCATTTATATGTTGAAACCAGGATGAGGAAACAATCCAAGGGGTTCGTTTTCTTTTAAAGGTCCAATGAAATAGCTAACCATATATTAAAAGTTCAGACTAATTACCATTTGAAGGAATAATTCAAGATTCTCATAGAACTCCCTGGTCGTCAATTTCTTGCAAGGAAGTCTCCCTTCCATTCTCTTAAGAACCATAGTACCAGGCCTACTCCCACCAATCCATAGGGAGATTCTGAGCACCCCAACATTGGCACTAGGAGACAAAAAATTTCACTTATAAAAGCTTCCTGCTAGGAGGTTCAAATCCATGAACCCAGTGAACTTTCCCACCCAACTGTTCCAATCCTTTACTACGAGAATCACCCTCTGGGGCTCTCTTCTTTCATTATTGGGTATACTGGACAACAAATGTTTGTTTTTACACTCTGAGCTGAATGAAAAAAATTCAGGGATTGTATACCCATGGGAACTTCCAGGCCAGACATTCTTTCCCATAAGTGCTTACTGTTTGGCCAGAAAGATATAAACAGCTAGTCTAGTGTAACAGCCCAAGTCCACCACTAGCAGATACTGTCTGCTTTGGCCTGTTACGCATCATCGTCAGCCTCACAATTTTAAAATGCATATGCTAGGGAAAGGTTTCCACACCCTTATAAAGAATGTTTTGTTCCCCTCTCCATACAATGTGTGATCTCACAATCCACCCCTCTTCGGGGCCCAACGTCCTCACTGACACTTGTTTCCTTCTCCAATTGATGTGGGGTCTCACAATCCATCCCATTTGGGACTTAGCGTCCTCGCTTGTACACCGCTCGGTGCCTAGCTTTGATACCATTTGTAACAACTCAAGCCTACCGCTAGCACATATTGACCGCTTTTGCTTGTTACGTATCACCGTCAACCTCACGATTTTAAAACGCGTCTGGTAGGGAGAGGTATCCACACCCTTATAAAGAATGGTTTGTTTCCCTCTCCAATCGACGTGAGATCTCACAATTAGACGGTTAGAGTTTAATTCCATTTTAACACTACAGAAGATGTGCATTTCACGTGTATGGTTAGATAGAATTACATTATACCAAAGTCCACAATAGTGGTTTATCCAAAGGAAACTTTCCTGTGCAGAAAAAGTACTTGAAACATCATACGAGGTTCCTCCTTTTTTGGAGAGTAATCATATCCAGAGATTTTAATTTGCGCAATTAACGAGCATTCAAAAACTATAGAAATATAATCACAAAATTACCTACCTTGAAATTTCCCCTTGACTTCAAATTCCTTGTCCATTCTAATCCCAGTGCCTTGGTTGTAGTCTGGTACGTAGCCTTTAATACATCATCGTCGTAAACCTTCCTTGAAATGGAGAAGTCCCACGAATTCTTTGCAAAATCGTACGAAGGTTCAAAAGTGGTTGCATGTTTGTGCACGTAGGTGTACTTCAATTTACAATTTCCAGAGCCAAGAGCGTGATTAGCAGAGAACTTGTTAGCCGAATCAAGGACTAGGTTCCCGTCGAGAACTGTTCTATTATCGGCCCAACTATGGATGTAAGTCAAATTCAAAGGCTTCTCCGCTACCTTGACAGTATTCATAAATTGAAAGCGAAGATCCTGTAAAATAGCATGCAATAACGAAACGAGTTAGCACGATATTGAATTTGATGATGCGAAGGGGGAAAATTAATCCTAGAGAAACCTAACTCAGGCTTCCATAAAAAAAAAAAAAAGATTAAATTCAGCACTATAATGAATCAATTTCTGGTTCAGCCTAAAAGAATTAGATACAATTTTCGCGAGCTCCAGTGCCAAATTTATAGTAGATTAAACCAAATGGTTCAGACTGGTAGGTAAGATTGACAATAGCAAATTCCACTCCTACCGAGATGTTTCGATTCGTGAAATTCTCGTAGCCATGAAACAGCCATGAGAATCTAAAAAATGGAACAGTCGAAGCACCTTTTTAGGAACATTGTAGTCGACTATGAAGAAGCCTGGTTTCTCGACGGCAAGGGAAAGACCGTTTAAACTAGGGGCGTTGATGATTGTGGCGTCGGTGATGGATGCTCGGAGCTTGACATCGCTAGCGTTAACAGCCAAAGTTGAGGCGGCGCCGCTTTTGTCTGCGTCGTACTTGGTCTTCAGAGTTGCCTTCATTGTTAGAAGGAAAGGAGATAAAGCAAGGTATCCAGATGATGCAAAACAAAGTTTTCGTTTTTTCCCATTTTAAAGCTGCAACTTGCCCTTGTCCAATCAAAATATGGCAAATAAAAATTCTTTTGTTTTTTTATTTTATTTTAAAAAAGCATTTGGGTTGCCACTTTTTTTCTAATAATTATATTTATTTTATAAATATTTTAAATAGTGATTTTCATGATTCTTTAGGAAATTTTTTCATAATTTAATAATTTCGTTTTTCATTTTTTGCTTTTGAAAAATAACTTCCAACCCTTATTTCTATTTCTATTGCTTTATTACATACTTTTTAGACTAAGTTTTCAATGTCAAATTTTGAAATTTTATTTTGTTTCAAATAATATATTTCAACCGTTTCAAAAACACATTTTAAATTTAAAAAATACCTCGAACATTTTTTAAATTTTTATTAATACCTTAGATTTTTTTAAAAAAAATATTTTTATCATTAAAACTGATTTTTTAAGATATTTATGAGCTTTCAAAAATAATATTAAAAAGTTTGGAGATAATTTATAAGTTGTGGATAAAAAAAATTTTAAGTGTTAATTCTATTTTTAAATGTTCAAAAATATAAATACTATTAAAGTTTCATAATATTTGTTATTATAACAAAGTTGTAATTATTTTAGCCAAAATAAAAAATTTAGATATATTTTTATTAATTTAGTCTATTAAATACTATTAAAGTTTCAATATCTTCGTCTCTTCACATACTCGTTTGGTTGCCTTCATCCCACTGAGTTTTGAAATCTTGAACCCTAATTTTCAGTATCTCAACGTCGGATACCCGATCTGATAGGGTTTGAGCCAAACTTCTTTCTACTCATTTCTAATTCTGCTCTTTTCAAAATTCGGTATGTTTGCGTTCAATTTCTTCAAGTTTGTTTCGATTTCGATTGTAGATTAAGATGGAACTATTGCTTTCTGCTACATGAATGATCTAAATGCATCTGTTCACCCTCTCCTTGACATCGTTTAGAAATATCAAGGGGATAATACAGGTGCTAATATCGATAGGTTGGCTTACCAGCTCATTTCATCTTTTTTATCTTTGTCTTGGAGTCAAATGGACCTACCGAAATATCGGCAACAATGATTATCCATCATTTGCCCCATTTCTTTATTTCATTTTGCTTTAATTTTGTGAATATTCTGCTCGTTACAATGGCATATGATGAATAATTCATTTACGCTTATTGATATACTGATATTCTGTGCTGACACAAAACTCCGCTTATTATCAGATGCCATTAAAGCTTTCTATCTTTCGTTGTTTTTCTTTGTTTTGTTTGAGATTTATTTCTTTTGAAGGCAGGCAAAGGATGTAGACAAATTCTTATCCTACACACTGAAGTAAATGTAGACTATAACTCCGCTTATTATCTGATGCCTTGCCATTTTTTAGAATAAAACTTAGATTCATTTGATTGCTCAATGTTTTTTCTTGTTTTATCGCTTAGTAATTGTAGTATTTGTTCTCTGTTTCACTTATGAATTGCGATTTCGTTCTAGTATAATCTCAGTTTAGTTAGGCGTCAGTCAGCATTTCAATTACATTCTCATCTATATGTGAATCGCACCACCAATGAAGAGAAATAGCAGACGGGCGGTCTGAATTGATGCCGTGTTGATTGTCTGCAACCCCCATCTTCATGGGTTCCCGAGGTGTAATCAATCGTAAAGGTGGTTGAGAAATTGCTCTGTTTCCATTTGATTTTGCTATGATGAAGTTTTGCCAAAAATATGTCTGGACATATGATATTTGTCAAGATTAGTTTGGTGCATTCTTCTGAGCCTATGTTTTGTTTTTAACTACACATTCTCTCTATGGATTTTTCATGGTTTGATTTATTGAGTCGTTCAGTATATACGATGAATTCAGTTCAAGTTTTAGAGACATCAGATTTTGCTGGAAATGCTCGGCCTTCCATCAATGATTTCTACCATGTAGCACGTAGTATTTGTAGACTGGCAAGTCCAATTTATATTCTCCCCTGCAGGTGGTTTCCCGAGGTCGTTGCAGCTGCTTCTATCCATTCTGTTGACGAACGCCGATCAGTTGGAAATTACACGTTTCAATTGAATTTTGTTTTAAGATTGTTGATGTACAATTTTCATATGTATTACTTGTGAATTGTATCATTTTACATTAAATATCAATAAAAACTACCACGTTTAATACATAATTTTTGTTCTGAATCCTATTTACATATTTGAGTTCGAATGAAAGTTATTACCGTTGACACAAAATTCCAAATATTTTTATGAGAAATCTGAATAATTTCCTTTCAAAAAGAGTGTCAAAATTGTGGATACTGAAACAAGTTCTACATTAATAAAATCGAAATTTGAACAGATGCCCAAGTTTTTGGCTCAAATAAAATATTATCAAGTTCTTAAAATCAAGTATCTCTAGTTTTTGTTTACCAGTCAGCGTTTTCATCTTCATTCTTAGTTCTAACCCCAACCCCCTTCCAATTTTAGTGTGAGTTCATCACAATTTATTCAATTTTTAAGTGATTGGCACGGCTTACCTAATATCATGTTTGTACCGTTTAATATCATCACTAAAATTATTAGAAGGAATGAACATTTTTTCACTCGATCTATTCTCATTCACAACAGTGAAGAAGCCAACCACATGTTGACAGGCATGGTGTCGTCATCGTTTTAGCCAATCTGGAGTTCCTGTTGAGGACGAGGAGGAAGACCAAGACAACAACTGAGAGAAGAAGCAGGATGGATGACGGAAAAAAAATAAAATAAAAAATTTCCGTTGCCGGGAATCGAACCCGGGTCTCCTGGGTGAAAGCCAGATATCCTAACCGCTGGACGACAACGGATTATTAAGATCAATTTGACAAAATTAATATTAAATATTATAATTACACCCGTAAAAATTATAATTTAAACTTACATTTAATAAATAAATTGATTTTTTTAAAAGAATTAATCAACATTATTAGACACAAAATTAAAATTAACTTAGGGGCTGTCTTGATTCTTTCTTTTAGTATACCCTTATAATAAAACTTTAGGTATAAGAAGATTAATTAGTTCTATTGAAAGGCAGTATCTTAGTACATTAATTAAGACAAAATAATGTAAACAAGCAATATAACAAAAACGACGGCCTAAATCCAATATACCCACTTCTTGTTCTTCCTCTTCATCTGGTTCGCATAGTAAAGGCTTCGAGTTCCGCCATTGATGAACTTCCCAGCTTTCGCCACATTGTCCTCAATGTTCTCTTATCTTCTCCCCTTCACTCTCAACCAGAATCGCCAAATCCAATACTGCGATTTCATCATGCCATACTTTTGGTTTTGCAAAGTTTTTCGATTCCACCTGTTGGAATTGCTCTTGCATCCACTGTAGTCAGTAATTGAGGCACTGACATCCCTCCAGAGATCACAATTTCTGCACCCAAAAGGGGAACGTCAAACTCCATGATCAATAAATTCTTAAGGTTTAGTATCCATTTGGATCGACGTTCTAAGTACTTTAAATGATTTTCTGCACCTAAAAGCATTTGGAAACTCGATCCGAACGAGCTTTTAACCCATATGGTTTCTTCTATGATATCATTAAACAGAGTAATCTCAAGAGAAGAGAAGAGAAGAGAAGAGAAGAGAGCATACCGATTCCCTCTCGGACAGAGAGATTAGGCCTGAGGATGTCCGTGGAACTCATAAGAAATATGTCTCCAAGATAGAGATGATTAGTGGGCACATAAACACAATACAGTTCTTCCTCTTCCATTCTGCTCTGAAGAACAACGGCAGAAGTGATGAATCCAAAGGCATACTCTCCACCACGGGGGTGCCTGATAATTGCTACTTCTTTGAAGGCACTTGAGGTTTGATCTGAGGCCGCCGATTATCAGATAGATAACCAGTCAAATACCAAAATAAATGCTATTCTTTTCAATGCTTTTGCTTCCTACCTGGTGATATTGCAGTACTAATTTGCTTCGAGGCCGTGTAAATATAGCTTACGAGTGGCATTTTCTTAATGAACCATTCACCAAGAGTAAGAACAGAAGCTCCCAGCCAAGATGACATGAAAATACCAACAAGAAAGATGAATGTAATGGAGGTAATAAATCCAAGCCCTGCAGAAATTTCTACTCAAAATCAACTGCGGAAAATCTCTTCGAAATTTGTTGTTCTTCTGCTCTTAACTTACCAAAAACATTGATCCCTAAGTGAGCATATATTGGAGAGAAGAAACCATCAACAAAACGAATGAAGCCCCACGTGATGTAGAATGTAATAGCAATTGGCATAAGAATTACACTGCAAACAGAGCCCCTTAATACGCTAAGGAGAAAGAAAAAGATGCATTAATCTGGAAGAACAGCAGAAGAGTTACCATCCTGTCATGAACTTCTTGGAAGCCCAGCTGCGAATGACTTTAGCAATGGCCTAAAATATCGATGAATCGAAGCCTTAGTTCGATAATGGCGTCGACTCACTGCATCTAACACTCTCATGGATTTCAAGCATTGCAGAGTAAGAAATCAATTGAAAGAACAAATACATTTAACGTTGAGGTTAATCATGTTAGACGAACACGACTCTCCACAATTATATGATATTGGCCTAGGCTTAATCACCCTATTTATTTGTACTAGACTTTTTGGGAAGCCCAAAGCAAAGTCATGAAGAAGAAATTTAAAGTGGACAATATCATACCAAATCGTGGAGAGCCGTGTTCTAACAAATCAATAGAAGAATCATGATTGAGAAGCGAAAACGGACCTCTCCGCCGGAGTGATGATTAGATAAAGCGACAGCCGGAACGGAGGAAGATTTGGAGGCTCCATTTTCAGAAACTGTAGCGACTGCGACGGGGATCAAGAGCCCTAGATCTCTCTCCCTCTCTCTTGTGCTCATTTCCCTGTTTCTTTTTCTCTCCCTCCACTTCGATTTTAGAGTCATATTTTTGGTTTTTTTTTTTTTTTTTTTTTTTCATCCAATTTCCCTCC